AAAAAAGCACTTTTGACACATTTGGGGGAAATTCATTGAATATTCCAACAATATACAGCATACCCGTGCGGTGGTTTCTCCCTCTCCATCTTGCAGACCTTCCAGAAAGCCAAAGTCGATGAGCAGCGGAATAGTGAGCAGAATGAAAAGAGCCCGATAACCAAAATACTCAACGATGAATCTTCCCTGAAACGGAGGAAGTCTACAAGAGGGGTTTCCTCAGCTGGTTTCGAGGGAAAGAAAGAAGAGAGAGAAACATTGCTGGATGCCAAAAACAAGACGGAGGTGAGATTGGTTGACTTGACTTTTGACAAGGAATAAAGCAAGGCGCAATTCAGCATTTCTCTCCTCCGTTCTAAAGGATGAAAATGTTCCGCCCGTGTCGTTACTCAAAATTCTGCATTTCAACCTTCCCGAGTGGCCTTACATTTTGATGGGGATCATCTTCGCTGCCATCAATGGATTATTACATCCTCTGTTCGCCGTCATCCTTTCAAAGTACATCGTTGTAGGTTACAATTTATGTCCGGTGGGATCACTTTTTTTTTTTTTTTTCTCGGAACCAAAATAAGATCATCAGCTTTCTCTTTCAAACTTCCAGGTGATGGCTGAGGCTGATCAAGAGATGATCAGAAAAGAAACCGAATTCCTCTGCCTCATGTTTGCAACTATTGGAATTGTCATTTTTTTCACCATGTTTCTCCAGGTAGGCATACGTTCACGTTCACACATGCTGTATGCACGTTTAAAAAATAATTTTTTGGGGTGATATTTTTAGTGTTTAGTGCAACCCACGCGTTGCTCTTATCTTTTTGCCGAGTTGTAGCACGAACCATTGCCCTGGGTGTTTTGAATGGTATTTTTAGCACTTGCAGGCGATGATAGCGCAGGCTTGTGACAGTTTTGCTTGTCCACAAGTTAGCTAAGGCGAATTCAAAATAAGTCACTTGGTTGAAATGTGATTCGGAAGTGACACTATGAGGAAGAAAAATATATCCTGTTGCCCACCTGATATGGCTCCGATAGGGTTGTCATATTTGGAGCATGATTAGGAGTTTGAGTACAGTCTACAGACAAGGAGCATCGGCACTGATAACGATATCACTATGACAATGGGTGCAGAGGGAAGGTGTCAGTCATTTGAATTCATGTCAACGTCCAACTGTGTTTGTATCCGTCACTTTTTACAGGGTTACTGTTTTGGAAAATCTGGAGAGATCCTGACGTTAAAACTGAGACTTGCAGCTTTCAAGGCTTTGATGAGGCAGGTAAGTTAAAAAAAAGTCTTTTCAGGTTTGCCGTTCACCAAGGTTGGCTTCACCAAGGCTGGCATTTCTCTGTCGGTATTTCTTAATTTGAAACGAAATTACATTCTAGGACCTCGGCTGGTTTGATGATCACAAAAACAGTGTTGGAACCCTCACAACAAGGCTGGCCTCAGATGCTGCTCAAGTACAAGGGGTAAGGCATACACACAACGTTCTATCTATTTCCAACAAACCTTTCACCTCCTCTCAGGTTACGGGACTACGCCTGGCCACCCTGGTGCAGAATATTGCCAATTTAGGCACCGGCGTGATTCTTGCCTTCGTGTACGGCTGGGAGCTGACCCTGCTCGTACTGGTGTTGGTGCCAATCTTGGCGGTAGCTGGAACTGTGGAGATGGAGTTGCTAGCTGGGCAAGCTGCCAAGGACAAGAAGGAGTTGGAGAAGGCTGGACAGGTGAGCATTTGCCATATAGCGTATGATGGGTTACTCACCTATTTTTGCCCTCCTTCTCCTGAAGCATATGACCTTGTTATACGATGTCGCATTTTCATGGTGCATCTCATCAGATTGTTACGGAAGCCATCGACAATATCCGTACAGTTGCATCACTGACCAGGGAAGCCACGTTTGAGTCTTTGTTTCACAAGAATCTGCAAGCTCCATACAGGTATGTGAGGACCTCCATCACCTGTCCATCAATGGTTGAAACGGTTCTGGACGTGCTACTTTGGATGGTTCCGTGTGTCTCCGTAGAAACGTCCAGAAAAAGGCCCATGTGCAGGGTTTTGCCTTCTCTTTCTCCCAAGCCATGATCTACTTTACTTATGCCATATGTTTCTGGTTTGGAGCTTGGCTTGTTCAGCAAGGACGAATGGATGTTGAGGGAGTTTTTCTGTGAGTAACAAAGATTTCACAGCATTCATTACATTAGGGAAATAACCTCTCAAACTTGACATTATTTGGTAAGGTCGGTCCTATGTAAATGAATATTCTCCCTCAGAGTGATTATGGCAATTCTATATGGTTCAATGGCTGTCGGAGAAGCCAATTCCTTCACTCCAAACTACGCAAACGCCAAAACGTCAGCTGCTCACATCATGATGCTTCTGAACAGACAGCCTGCTATCGATAATCTCTCGCAGGAGGGACAGTCATTGGTAAGCGACAAGAACTGGCCAAACAGTGCACTCCAGAGCAGTTTACAGGCTTACGGTATTGATAAAATGTCTGTCTGGTTTATTACTCCAGGACCATTTTGATGGCAACGTGTACTTTGAGGGTGTTAAGTTTGACTACCCGTCACGCCCCAATGTACCCGTCCTCCGAGGGCTGAATCTGAAAGTGAGCAAGGGAGACACACTAGCCCTGGTAGGAAGCAGCGGCTGTGGAAAAAGCACCACCATTCAGCTTCTGGAGAGGTTCTACGACACCAAGCAAGGGAACGTGGTGAGAAAAATGATTGCACTTTTGTTTGTTAGTCAATGTAACGGTGCTGGACTGCATAGATGAGATGTTGAAACACAAAAAGGGCATTTGCTAAATGTGTCTTCTGTGTGTATCGTTGTGTCTGTTTATGGGTGGAAAAGGCGCCAGTGAGTGGCAGCCTGTTGAAGTAGTGCCGCTAAGTTTCTTATTCATACATGTGCTCCCTTTTTTATATTATTTTGGGGTTCGCTATGTGTCGTGTTAACCTGTTTTTGACCATGACATAGTATGGCGGATTATAATGCCACTTCTTATGTGCGGCTTCACTGACAACCTGTCTATAACAGCTATATGGTACTTTCTCCCGTAGACAAAATATTGTGGTTCTTTTCAGAAATGTTATGTATTTATAAGTTATTTAAAGTTTTGTGATCTTTTTTTTTTTTTTTTTTTAATCTGGGATGTTGTGACCCACCTAGTTATAAGTTATTTAAAGTTTTGTGATCTTTTTTTTTTTTTTTTTTTAATCTGGGATGTTGTGACCCACCTAGTGATTTGATCCAAACAGCTTTCCTCGGTCTTGGGTCATCTTGCTCAGAACCAATTTTTCTTGACATATGACTTCAACGATGACCTGACTAGTCTTTTTGTTGTTTGTCTTCCAGATGATTGATTCCAAGAGCGTGAAAGAGCTGAACATCCACTGGCTGAGGTCGCAGATAGGCATTGTGTCCCAGGAGCCTGTGCTCTTTGACTGCAGCTTGGCTGAAAACATCGCCTATGGAGACAACAGTCGGACTGTAACCATAGAGGAGATTAAGGCAGCTGCTGAGAAAGCCAACATTCACAGCTTTATTGAAAACTTGCCAAAAGTAATCACGTTTCTCTAATGAAGGATGAATTATTTTGATCAATGCCTTCTGTTCCAGTGAGAAACTTATCAACCTATT